TAGATAAAAGTTAATTGTTCACAAGGTTACATTTCTAGTCCAGGCAAGCCCTTACTATTACTTAGATGAAAGCAGAGATTCTGAAAAGCCATATTTTCAAAGCAGGAAGAGTGCTGCATGTGCATACACAGCCTTTTCCCAAGCTCTGATGTAGGAGTAAAGAGGGTTTCCATCAGTGTGATCCCATAAAATATCCATCTTAAAGAACAAGCCAAGAACAAGTCCATTATTTCCATATGGAAAAGCAAATCTCAAATTCTTTCTCTAAACAAACATAACTGTCAGTTTCCTTTCTTTCAGCATGTAAAGTGCAAGTGCCAGACCTTGTTTCCTCTCTTTGTTGATGATTATGTTTCCACACCTGTATTCTGCCATGTTTCCACATCTGTATTCTGCCATATATGTACTTATTCACCCATAGTCGTGAAAAGTGATGACAGGAAAAGAATGAATCTTTTCAGTACTTTCAAAAAATTTGAAATTTAGATTTCTTCTTTTCTTCCTGGGAAGTGCATCCTGACTGAAACAATATTTTATAAAAATGTTCATACAAGGTAATATACTTGATGAAATGATTAGACGTGCAGTTATTCATACATGTATAAAGGCTGTTCAGCTTGTGCATATCAACTGGTGTGCACTTGGTCTCTTGTACACATACAAAAATGTCAAGGGTGGAATTAGGTCTAAGCATAGGATTAAGGCTTCTAAATGATCTTTTAGTGAATTAGAAAGGCATCAGCTAATCTAACAGCATCAAAATATGAAAGACTTCACAAATTTACAGCCTTATGCCCACTTCAGCCAAAGGACATGAAAGTTGCAACCCTCTGTAAAAATAACGTCTAAATATCTTCAGAAGCAAATACCTCCGAGAAAGAGCAGGCGTCGCATTATTTTGCTGAGAAAGCTATGTGATTGATGGTGTCTGCCTGTAAGCTGTTTGGCAGCAGAAAAAACTCTACTTGTTTGGGGGAGGAGAGGGGGAAAAAGAAAAAATCACTTGACAAAATAGTTTGACACCAGAGAGGAAGGTCATGTATTCGGGGAAAAGGAGATGTTTCTCTAAGCGAGGAGCAGATGCTCTCCTCTAGGGTTCAGTGCGTAGCACAGCTGCCCCAACCCGCCCTCCCCTGTTTCAAAGTCAGCAGAAAGAGCTGAAAACTGAAAACGGGTGGCCCAAGCCTTGCATTTGGGCTCCAGCAGAGAGCGGGGTGCAGGCGGGCCGCAGCTGGCCACAGAGCTGAGGAATTCAGGGGTGAGGAGGTTAATGACAGAGCAGGTTCTGCTGTGTGCAATACTTCTGCTAAACTGGAGATGGAGCTCATCTTTCTTCAACTGAAAAAAAAAAAAAGAGAGAAATAAAAAAGTAAGGAAAAAGAAAAAACACCAAATCATCAAATAAACACCAAAGCCACTCCAGGGATTTTTGCGTATGAAGAAGACCTTTTTTTTTTTTTTTTTAATGCCAGTTAATTGTAATGTTTCTGATTCCGGTGTTAGTCTTTAGTGGGGGGAAAAAAAAAAGAAAAGTGATTGGGAAAGAAGTAACAACAATACTGTTTATGCAGTTTCCATGTTGTTACAATATTTTAAGTGAAATTCCTACTAATTTCCCCAGAAGTCCTTGGCATCCCACTGCAATAAGGTAGACTAATAGATTTTGGAGCATGCCCTTTAATTTTAGTTTTTGTACAAGCAGGATATATTCATAGATCAAGACTTTTTATAAGTAGTTTATCAAGAAGACTTGCTTACTATACATTTTTATTTAGCAAACTCTTAAGAATCACCCCAAAGTTATTATTTCATACAAAATCATGAAGCTTCATATTTTACATAAATATCTATTTTAAGGGGTTCAGTATTTGTCATAGAGTTGTATTTTTAAATAATATATTAGATTTTAATAATGGTTCCCCTTTTATTTTCAACAGGATTACTTTACAGATGAGAACAGAGTGCTGAAAAAGGACCCTCAACAGGATTACCATCTGGAGTATGCCATGGAAAATAACACACATACAATATTGGCTTTTAGCAGGGAACTGCACACTTGTGATCCAAATGATAAGAGTATAACGGTAAGAAAGATGTGTGGATAATATGTAGATAGTTCAAGTAACTAAGATAGATAGCATACCTGAATATGAAGCAGGTTATTAAAATCTTCTCATGTTAATAAAAGGAAAGAATTATATAAATTCGACTAGAAAATTAGTTTATCCAACTCACAATATATTTTCCAAAACTTCAGTTTTTCAACTTAAATTTGCTAAGAAATTACTTTTATATATTTTACTAGGTATGGACTATTGCATTTTATTTTCAGCTTTCTTTATTCCTCTAAATAAGTGCATAATATTTTCTAATTTCTAAGGCAGTGTATGAACATAGGAGTGAACCAGGGTACGCCATCATGACAACTTCAGAAAGACTGTTCAAGTCTTGCACTAACTTGTAATTGCTCTCAAAGCTTTTAGAAAGCTTTCAAGAGTATGACGTTAAATTATATTTTATGGCTTTATTTCTGTATTTAAAACAAAAACTGAAAGAGTATAATAATAGGTCCTCGCTTTTCATGATAAATTCTTTTGCTGTCCTAGTGACAGCTGTAATCTTTCATATGAATAATTTTAAACTCTGATGACTTCTGTACTTTTGTATGCTTTGGACATTTTACTTCTCATCTTAGAAGCATTTCTATAATAGTTTAATGCTATTTTAATTATCTGTGTTTTTATAATTTGGGTGATAATAACAACATGAGAAGATGAAAGATGCAGGAAGCAGATCCACAGCTGTATAAACTGTCAGAACCCCAGGCAGCCAATGGATCTATGATTTTTGAACCTGCTCCAAATTGCCTCAATATAGCTTAACTTTGCTATTTATGAGAATATTTTGTCTCATGGGTGGTTATTGCATTCTGAGAATAGGTTACACTGTAGCTGTAGACAAATTTTTTAAGATGTAAATCTGTTCCTGTAATTTAATGTCTATCTTCCCTCCCATACAGTTGACACTAATCCACAGGAGGTATTCAGATGTTTACACAGTTAAGGCTGGAAATTGTTTTGGATAGATAGTTTCCAATTGTGGGCCAAATGAGTGACACCTCTAGAAAAAATCATTTTGTGTCTTTAGTTGATGGGCATCTTTTTTTATGAATCTTTTCTGGTATTTGCAAATATGAGTTAAGTTTGCTGCATCAATGAAAGGAAACTATGAGGGAGAGATTCAACTTCTGTAGATCTACTTTTCTCATTTAGTGTAAATCGTCATTGTTCAAATACAGTAACACCTAAGTCCCATCTATTCCAGCAGTTATATGAACCATACTGTGAGAAAAACATTCTTCCTATTCCTTCTAATTTTCTTTTTCTTTAAGGAGAGCACAGTACGGGTAATATGGGCCTATCACCACAAAGACATGGGAGAAGCGGGTCAAAATTACCACGGGGCTAATCGTGGTTCAAAGAGTTTACGTTTACTGAACCCTGAGAAAGAAGAAGTTTCATCTGTCTCTCTGGCATACTTTGACCTGACAAACAAAGACGTAAGTTACTTGGAGTTTTGGATTTATGTGGAGATTGGGGTGAGGTGGCATCTAGACTTCTTGGTCTAAGCAACAGGCAATGCAACTTTTATAATAGTAATTTCTCTCCCTTTTTATTAAGACAGGTGCTTATACCAGATAAAGATACAACATATTGGTGCCAAATGTTTAAGATTCCTGTACGACATGAAAAGCATCATGTGACAAAGGTGAGTGGTTCAGACTGTGAATGCAGATGACAACAATTGCTCTTCAAATCATTTTTTTTTGTGCTTTCAAAACTTGTTTCCCTACTTGCTGGAGTAGAAGCAAGACCTCTAGAGCATTTTCACAAGAATAGGTAAAGGGTTTGTGTATGTATCGCAAGGACCAGTTCCGGTGCGCCCTAACAGAGAATGAGAGTGGAAATTGTTTCTGATCTTTAAAAAATGGCAAAACCTATGTAATTTTCTTTAAAAAATATTCCATGAATTTTCTACTTGTCTATAAAATATATTTGTTTGGATTTCTAGCTTTCTGCTTTGAAGCGAAAGAACTTCAGGATTTTGCTTTCCATGTTAAATTTGTTAGAAGTTGGTACAGGCAGTTCAGTAAAAGAGATCTCTGGAACTGTGTTATTTATATCCACTGAATTTAACTGCAATACTTTAAATAACTGAGTGTGCTTTACTAGACAGCACACACAGTTATTAAAACAAAACAAAAGTAAAGACAAACTTGTGTTCACCTGAAGCTAAAAAAATTTTCTTTCAGAGATACATTGGTTACTTTTTCAGAAAAGTTTCATATTCTTTATTTTTAGTATGACGAATAAAAGTATTATAATTTTAGAAATCACATTTTGAGGACTGATTTTTTTTTGTTTATTATTAAGCATTAAAATGAGAATGTCATTCCTAGATTTCCCAGCTTCAGAAAAGCACACAAATTTTATATTACTTTATTTTTTCTAACTCAAAAAATGTTTAGAGAGAGAAAATGGTTAGAGAAAAAGAGTAAAGAATTACTCTAGAAATACATCGCTATCTTCTTTCAGAGCTACAGCTTCAATTTTCATATATGTGACTTTTGTAGCTGATGCACGCAGATTTATTTTGGAATTCTGTGCATCTTTGCCAATCTATTAAACATTTCCTAAAGCTTACTGACACACAGATGATTTGACTTATGAGTACTCCGAAGGACATCAGTCATGCAAACAAAGATTACATTTGACAAAGGGAAAGATAGATGAATTTTGTGCCCTGATCAAAATTACTGTGTTAGCTAAATAACTATGTAGATGTTAATTAATAATTCTTCTGTAGTATGACTTTCATACAACCTATGCATACCATTTTAATAGAGGAAAGAAAGAGTTAATAGAATAGTTCAAATTCATCTCTGGTATGATTCCGTCTGCATGGATAGTGTACAAGGGAGCTGATTTTGGCTATATCTGCACGTCTTTCTTTATGATTTTATGAATCATGTAAGTTATTTGACTCAAGCTGGACGAGATGTGTGCCATTGACAACATGGAACCATGTGCTTAGATGTGCAGGTGTGCCTGCTGATGAATATTTGCAGAAACCACAAGTAAATGAGAACTTGTTTCATATTGTTTGGTTGCTTTCTTTCTTTGTTTCTTCTGGAAAATTGTAGTAATTTATTTAAAAAAATCATCGTTTTACTCAGGAAAGCACAACATTTTCATGAAGGAGGATGTCTAAGAAAAAAGTAGAACACGCAGTAAAGGTAGAGGCCAAGACTCTTAAACATCTCTAGTTAGCAAATGCCAGGTTCTGAATACAGATTCTAAATTGAAAATTATTTTTAATCTTCAACGGCCTTCACATTATTTTTAAAAAGGGTAACTATACATGCTCTCAGACAAAACATATTAAAAACATTTGCAAACATATTTCATAAATATAAGTCGGTGGTCTAGCAGTTGCGTGATGTGATACACTTGGTCACAGGATGCGTCTACACCAGTATTTTAGCTTGGAACATTAGTGTGCTTTAGAAGTGAATCTGCACATTGATTTGGTTAGCACCATGGAATAGTTTTGGAGCTCGTGAACTGAATCCCTTTGGATGGCACTGGGAGCACGCCGGGTATGCCCCAGGGGCAAGTGGCCAGCAGTCCAGGGGACCAGATGGAGCACGTCCAAATAAAAATTCTTTGTAGTGTGTGGCATGGATGTCAGGTCCGCACCCTTTTTCTCTTCTGTGCTTTTGGGCTATGTGTTCTTCTTATAGAAAAAGCCTGTTGAATGACTCTTTAGGCAGTGAGGAGTTATTTTGCAGACATCCCAGTATGCCAGCTTTGCCATTCAGGTGGTTAAGGCACAGCCATGCGTGTTGCTCACATGAGCAATCTGTTGATTTTAAGTGAATCAAAGTGCTTTTTGGGGTAAGGACTCAGTGTATTGCATTTTTCTGTTAGCACAATATAATGAAGCAACTGGCATAAAAGATAATAAAATCATTGGAAGGTAAATTATGTAAGAAAGATCTGTCTTTTCTTGCTCTTTTTTTAATATTTATGATACTTTCCAAAAACCTCAAGTGATGAGAATCAGCATAGTTTCTTTGACTATTCTTGAGCAAACTGCACTACATGATATGTAAAGTATGCAATAGATAAGATTGTAATCTTCATCAGGCATTCATCTCAGGTGGAATAAGGGCATGGATAAATAAATTCTCTTTATGCTGCATTTATCATTGGAGAATAGTACTTCAGTATGGTAACAGGGTACTCGGCCAGGGTTAAGATTTCTTTTTTTAGTCTTCCTTTGTTTTATATTTCTTGCAACATCTTCCCTAGGGAAGAGACAGTGTCTTCCTACATGTCTCTACAATGCCTTTGATTACAAGATTTCTTATGCCTCTGGGAACTCTTGGAGAAATACCTAATAAAACTGTTTATAATAATAATGTGCCTGCTAAGAAATAAAATAAAATTATTTTTAAATAGTTGGGGAGCTTCAAGCTCCTCAGCTCCAAGGTGTCTAATTGGTTAAGCAATGGTTACTTCAAAAATCTTTAAACTTCTAAGGGTTTTCTCTGTCACTGCATGTGTTTTTGTTTGTTTGTTTGCCTTTTTTTTTTTTTGTTGCAGAACCGAACATCAGAGTAATAGGTTCATCTTGAAAATGCTGATAGGTAGAGCAGATGAAAGGGATCACTTGGAGGTCGTAGCGAGAAGCTCTCTTGTGTCACTCAGCTTGCAGGGTGGCTTGCTGGTGGTCCTGCAACCCCAGACCCTGACTGCCCTTCTTGTGGGAGAGCACGCATCATTGCCTATCTACGAAATGTGCATTTGCCAGTTTTGCTGCTTTAAGCTTCAGGTTGTGCTGTACGCTTAGGGCTTAGTACCACATGTACAGTAGGGTTTTATTTTTCTTGCATATAGAAGTTAGTCCTGAGTTTTCTCAGAAGTAAGCTTTCTTAATAAAAATAAAAAGAGAATTTCATTTATTATCCCGGACTTTCTGGATGTGGATTTAAGGTAATTTCTTGCTAAGATTTTTGTAGTGCACTGTAAATATCATCTCTCTGACGGGTCCCGCCTGGGCTTCTTCATCATGTACTAAAGAAAATTTTCCTGTTTCGCTGAATGTACCTGGAGAAGGAGCTCTGCTCCAGAAGGGCTTCCCAAAGCTGCTGGTAAAGCCAACACCCAGGCACGTCCAGGCACCACCTTTCTCATGAAAAGCTCTCTGTCTCCCTGCCAGAGCCACCCTGGGTGTGGATACGCCTGATAGAGGGGCAGTCAGTGCCATGCTCGGCCTGGGAAGGCCTGGACGGCTAGAGGCACTCACTGAAAGCAGCACGCATGGGAAAGAGCTGTCTGTGCAGCACCTTCAGTCTTGTAAATTGGCCATTTTTAATATCTCTCTATTTTGTCTCCTTCATTTAAAAAAAAAATCATTCAGTGATGGTATACTGCCTGCTGAAATGCTCTAGTTAATCAAGAGGTCTGGTTTCTGTTATTTGCAATGTGCATGCATGTGTGTACATGTTGATGCAAGGTCCCTCTAACTTGTAAGACTATTTGGTTATGATCATTTTTTTCTGCTTATTTATTGTTTTCTTTGATTTTTTTTTTGCTTTCTATGAGCTGGCATCATGCAGATGTTTATCAGTGTCATGAAAGTGAAAGTTTCTTTCACACTCATAAGAACTACTTTTCCCAAAAGTTGTATTTTCAAAGCTTGTTTTTACTTCTCTTGGCTCTTTTTATCTGTAATCTTGCAAGTATAGCTATTTTAATACTCTTTATAGCTTAGTGTTCGATGCCACTTATCTTCCATTTATTTAATTGGATTACTTATGAATATAACTGCTTCTACTAAAGAGTCATTCTTTTGACTTTATGTTAGCCTCCAGTCTCCCATGTACATCATTGCTTTTTCTGAAGTAATCAAAAACTTTGAAATACAATATTTCTCCCACTGTCTTTCTGATTTTCTACAAATTTTCTATATCTGTGCTTAACCACTACACCTGACAAATTGCTTAATGCTGGGGGCATGCTTCTGAAAAGCTGCAGTAGTTGTTGGTGGAGAAATGGTATGTATATTGTACATCAGGCATGCCATAATCTACTTCTATGAGTTTTTTCATCTTTGGTAACTAGCACGACCATGCTAGTCTCAACATTCACTTTCCCTTTATTTTAATAGCCTCTTTAAAATGTACTTCGTTTACCTTAGGGGAAGTAGTTCCCTAGGCTTGAGCAGTGGTAATCCTGTAGACAAAAGCATGTCTGATATTGAATTTTACTCTTAAGAATAGGAATACAAGCCTATACAGAATAAAAAACACAACAGAGACAGTAGTAGCTTCATTCATGTACATGTACATATGTACATGTATTTACTTAACAATTACGTTCATATAGTTCTGAACTTTCTGGGTTTTATTCTGGGAAACTGGAAGTAGAGTTGGAGGAATACTGGCAGAAAGGTTGTGGTATAGCTGTGCTCAGAGCATAAAATACTTCAAAATCTGTAAAAGAGCATCTTTAATGGGAAGAGGCCATTCAGAGGTGGAGAGGAGAGCAGTAGATTGCATTTTGCAAGTACTTAAAGCACTCTTGGATGTCTGCATAAAGCACTCTTTTCATGTGTGCTATTTGAACCTGCTTATGAGTATGGAGCAAACAGGTTAACCACTGATGAAGTGGGAAAAAGCTCTGTGCTGGGGATTAGGTTTA